AATAAATACCAAGCAATCTAATAAGCAAAATACACAGTATTTTTCTAGACAGTGCCCAAATTTGTATTTGCTGTAATGTTAACGATCAAATGAAACTCTGGCCTACTCTGTTCCAGGGCCACAGACTGCACTCTCTTCCAGCCATTTTTCTCACAAATGCACACAAGGAGGTCACAAGGAAGATTCAGGGAGCAATTCAAAGCAATCTTCCCTAGGGGAAAAACAACCGCTGAATAGTATGCCTGCATTTGAAAAGTTTCATTTAAGATCATGCTGCTGTACTTTGAGTAAAATACTAATACGGATGCTCTTTTATCCAGAGATCATGCATTGTGTTATTTTCCAAACTTCACCTATAAGAAACAGCAAATAGAGGTACAATGCCTTTTAAAGTCTTTCATTCCATTCATTTTCTTTGGGTAAAAACAAATTTGTGAATTAAAAAGGTTTCCTCAGCTGGACAATATCTAATTCTAGAAATTCCTGCACTCTTCTTATATATTCTAAAATACAGAATGGAAAATATAAAAACAATAATACCCTTTTATAACTGTCACCACAGGGAGAGAGGGGAGAAAGTTAGAAAAACATACAAAGCATTGAAAGGCTGGATATGTGGAATATGCCAGGAGGAGGGGGAGGAGGGTTTCACCAGGTTCCAGGCAAGCCCTTTGAAGACGTCACCTCACATACATAATGTTACAGCAGTCAGCACAGGCCTCCTGCTTTCCTATTGGTGAGCACCGTGTCAGCCGACATCAGAAGATAATCATCATTGGCCAGACAATTACAACTAGAGCAACTAGCCTCCAGTGCTGTTAGCACAAACCTGGCAGGCTGCTGAAAGAGAAGCAGGCAGTTGTGAACCCAGCTTCCCTTCTCACTCAATGAATTTTATGTTACCTTACCAATCACTAGGTGATTTTGCTCCCTGGCTAGCAGCTCTTCTAAATTAAGTCAGAGATTAGTGAGAATCATAAAAGAACAAAATGTCTCTATTTTCATTGTAAAATTACAAGGAGTTTCCAGTGTAAAATTGGAACTTGAAAATGGTATTTGGAGGTAAAAGCAGACACTTTCCTTTCCTCTACCTCATAATAATAAATCCTCATTTACCAGATAATAGTACCCAGGGTATTTTCAACTGGGCATACAGTTTCAACCTAAGGGTCAGAATGATTCCCCAAGGCAATGTTTATTACTTTGCATATATGATTAGAATAACAATTGAAATTATAATTTGGCTGGAAAAGTAAAAGGTCTACAGTAGTCATTTCACGTCTAGGTCAATGAGTATCAGGTTAATCATTCACTAAAGCAGCAATAAACTTGATCAATTAGCATCAGTTGAACCCTTGTATAATAGTGTTTATACAAACACCACTCCAAAAATGGGAACCCAGTCCATTAACTCCTGCTATGATTAACAAGTATGGATTATGGGGTATGTTTAAAAAACTATCCTTATTTCAGTTCCTCTTAAATCATGCTAGTTAGTGTAGATGGCATACGGACAAAACACCACCCCTAATCCTCACAACTCTTCAAAAGCTGATGTAGCTCATTTTTGAGATAAGGTTCTTAAAATTATCCCTAAATTACCAAGTTCTGTTTGATACTAAGATTTTAAAGACAATTAGAAATAAATTCTGGAAAGAGTAGAATCTTCACTATATTGTGTTTCTCCTCCACAAGCTCCTTCAACCTTTCATGTTAATTATTCTGGAAAAGGCTTAAGATGCTGTGATTTCCTGAAGTTCCCCTCTCAAGAGGGTCTAAGCCAGCGGTTCTCAACCTGTGGGTCGCCACCCCTTTGGGGGTTGAACCACCCTTTCACAGCAGGATGGCCTAAGACCATCCTGCATATCAGATATTTGCATTAAGATTCATAACAGTAGCAAAATTACAGTTATGAAGTAGCAACTAAAATAATTTTATGGTTGGGGGTCACCACAACATGAGAACTATATTAAAGTGTCATGACATTAGGAAGGTTGAGAATCACTGGTCTAGGCCTTGGTTATGGAGTTCCTCCTCTCCTGTAAACAAGAGAGTAAAGAAAATCTTGTTCAAGACTTTAGCTGCAGGGGGTTTGGGGGAGAAGGGAGGAGAATAATATATAAAACTAAGCCCCCAGGATACTGGAAGAAAGTCTGGGGAAAAAAAAAAAAAAAACACACGAAAGCAAGACAATTAAGGTCCGGAAGAGTTTCCAGCAGGGATGACAGCCTGCAGAGTTCCTCAACCACAGTTGCAATCCAGGGACACACATAACAAAGAGAGCAGAGGCCAGGGTGATGGACACAGTATTCAAAACGGGGACGGGGGGTGGGGGGGTGTCAGGGGGCAGCATCTGTGGCTCAAAGGAGTAGGGCGCTGACCGCATATACCCCCATATGCCGGAGGTGGCGGGTTCAAACCCAGCCCCGCCACAAAAAAACGGGGGTGGGAAGCGCTGGGGGCTGGGGGACTGGAAAGCAGGTTAAACCTGGCATGGACAAGCAATGCTAGGGATCAAATGGGCACCAATTAACATTTTAACTCACTGGACAAGAGTTTCCCCAAGCATCTGCCATGTATAAAATACTGCCAGGCGCTTTGCAAAATCAAGAGTGGAGAAAGATGAGAACCGTGTCCCAAAGAGCTGATTGGACTGCATGTGAATATCCAAGCCCATAAAAGCAAGGAAAAGATACTTCCAGAAGAAAGGTCCAGATAAAGAGCTAGGAGGAAACTAGTCATTCATTGCTTAACAGAAGATAAGTTGGCACATTCTTGACATTTTCGGTCTTATGAGAGGGAGGGTCTGGTGCAGTGAGTGCTAATTTGAATGGAAAGAAGAGGCGGGAAATGGTACCTGCAGAAGACCTAGGAAGCCGCCTCAGAGAAAAGGCAACAAGCCAAAGAGAGGCAGTATCGACCGCGGAGGTTCTAGGAAAAGCCGGCACACAGTGCATGGGCTTAGCAGACAGCGAGGGCAAGCAAACTCCGGAAAGGCAGGTTCAGCCAGGATGCAGCAAGTTGCAGAAAGCAGACATTAGAAAATGTAGAGCGGACCGGCTACTGGGGGAGGAAGATGGGCCCGAGCAGTGCGGCCAGAGGACAGGACAAACAGCTGCAGAGAAGACCCGGGCCCCAAGCTAGCCCGCGGCGCGGCTCCCAGAGCCCGCCCGCTCCGGTCGCCGCCCCCTCCCCGCCTTCAGCACCACCCCCTACGCGGGCGGAGGAAATGCCTGCGAGGGACCCCAGGCAGCAGGGCCCTAAGGGCTCCGCTTCTCCGAAACACCGAGGCCCCTACATGTCTAATCAACTCCGGATCGGGATCTGCGGTGCGCAGCCACCCTCCGGACTCAGCCCAGGGTTCACGGCCTCGGCGGCCCCGGGGGGCACCCAGCTCCGCGCTCCATGTGCCCGCCGCACATCCCGTCCCTCCAAGCGGCCCGCGCGCCCTCTTCGACTTCAGCTCCGGCTGGACGCGGCCCTCGGGCCCCTCGCCCGCCGCCTCCGCCGGCCACGCCGCAGCTCGCTTCCCAGCAGG